GGTCTGGCCACTCATAGTTTTTTAAATGCTTCTTAGATAAGAACTGATACAAATCCTGTTCCCAGTCTCCCACTTCTCCATCCTTTCTGACATCAGCCCTTCCTACACTCTCGCTCTGTCTCGCTCTGTGTGTGTGTGTGTGTGTGTGTGTGTGTGTGTGTCTCTCAAAAGAATCCCTTGAGGCTAGTGCAGATGGAGCAATTGGAAAGCAGCCCTTGGTCTGGGTGTCTACTCCAGCTGCCCTGCTGGAGAAGGATGGGCATCTCCTCCTGTGTGATTAACTGCCTCTGAAAACTCACCAGATAGTCAGCCGTGGCTCAGTTCCAACTCTACAGAACACAGCAATAACATAAGATACATGGGCTAAGTCTGGGAAGGTCAAACGTGGAGCTACCAAGTCTTGGGGAGCATGTCTCCCTTCTTCAGTAATGAGGAAGCTGTCTAAATGCTTGGTTTTAGGACCTTTACCAGCCAGTCCTGCACAGCTGGCTCACTCTCAACCTCCTATACCTAGTTGATTTCAGCCTCTCAGTTGTATCTTCTCTGGCCTGGCCAGCCTCCACTGGCCACCACATCTACCCTGCCCTGCATTGGCTCTGACTGTGTAATGAGGTGACTATGTGCAGACACCCAGCCGTGGAGTGATTGTGACCCTCTCCCCACCGCATTTACAGGAGACAGGCTCTCCCCTGAGTGCACAGAGCAGAGCCCCAACTCTGCAGTGGACTGACTATGTGCCCTTTCCCCACAGCGGCTGCAGAGTGGCACAACAGGTGTGTGTGTGCTCATCACTGGGAACACACTGCATATCGCCTGGCTTGGGGACTCGCAGGTCATCCTGGTGCAGCAGGGCCAGGTGGTGAAACTGATGGAGCCCCACAGGCCTGAGAGACAGGTGAGAACACCCCCACCCCACAGCCCAGGAGGTCTCCACAGCCCAGGAAGTCCCCACAATTGCGTGACTTGCCACCACAGCCCAGGCTGTCCCCAAACCCTACAGCGCAGTGACTCGCCACCTTGGTCCAGGCAGTCTCCACATAGCACAGTCCAGTGACTCCCCACCACAGCCCGGCATTCTCCATACCCCATAGCCCAGTGACCCCACCACGGCCCAGGCTTTCCCCACACCCCACTGACAGCTTGAAGACCCCCACCACTGCAGCCCAGGCTTTCCCCAGCCCCACACCTGAAAAGCAGGTGAACCCCCCCCTCAACGGCCCAGGCAGTCCCCAAGTCCCACATTTAAGCAACAGGGATTGGATTGGGAAGCCCTGGGCAGGGGACATTTACGAGGACATCCAAAGAGACTTCCTTAAGCTCCTTTAGAGGGATGGCCTTCCTGCCAGATACAAGTAGCCAGGGTCCCCTAAAACTTGAGGTGTTGACAGCCTGCATTCCCAGGGTTCTGTGTCCCTTTATCTGGGGAGACCCCCTGCCCTAGGACAGCCCAGCAAAAAAAAAGCTCTACTATGTAGAGCCAGAGAGGGCCAGGAGTGGTTATCTCTGGCTAGCAGTGGGGTGAGCATTATACTCTGCTGAGAAAGGGAGAACCTGCCCAAAGGACTTCCCAGGAAACTCCAGCAAGCTCTCACTCCCAAATGGGACTTACTTATAAGGCCCATACATGAGGCTGACCCTTCTGCCTTAGGCTGCAGCTCATCCCTGAGTGTGCCCTCAGATCAGATGGCAGTGCTCCTCAGTGGGGAAGCTCCTAGGTGTTTCCTGTCCACTCTCCATACACCAAGCAGTGACTCCCAGACAGTGTGTCTAGGCATCCAGCAGGAGTTTTCTGTGTCTACCACATGGTGCTGGTCCACCACATGGGCCACGTTTCTGTGCACCATTCAGGCCAGGGACCATGGCAGGTACCAAGCCTGTCCTTCTCCTCCCTCCACACCCCCCACCCCAGACCTTCTCAGTGGAACACCAGCCAGGGTCAGCAGCTACCCCATTTCCAGGGTGGGAGAGTCAGTGGTGGAGTATGTACATCTGTAGGGCACAGTTCCAAGAGAGTCCTCACAGGGGACAATGTCCCCATGACTGAGGCTCCTAGGAACATAGGGACCTCAGGTAAAGGGGGACCTCTCAGACCCCAGGGACCCAGCAAGGTCAGGAAAGGGGCTGCAGAAACAGGTGTTTGTGTTGCTGGACAGAGCTCTGCCCCTTTATCCATGGTAACCTAAGAAGTTAGAGGAATGAGGGCACCCTTTCACAGTGGCTCCAGGGCACAGGATGACAACTGGCATCCAGGAGCCTCAGACATAGCATGTCCTATCCGAGGGCATCAAGATTGGGGAGTCACACTGGTCTCCATACTCACTGCTTGGAGATGCATCACTGTCCTCATGTACTGGGCAGCCCAGGGAGGCTTGTCCAGGGGGCATGCACACACAGGGATGTCCACACCTTGCCCTGTGGTGGTTCCACATATCACAGAAGACCGTGACCCTCTTGTCAGAAGGGAGCCAAGGACCTGCTGCCTGACTCCAGGGCTCACTTTCTGTGGTCTCTGAGCACTCCCTGGCCCATCAGCTTAAGACTCTGTGGGCAGGGACACAAATGCCGCTCTACATACTCAAGGGTCTGCAATTAGAGTCCACTGGGAGGCACATCAGGAAAAAGATTAAGTCTTCTTGTAAAAAGCAAGCTGTGGCAGACCTATGTTGTGTGTTTCTCCTCTGACATGCACAGAGCCAGTATCAGCTGGTTTTCATGTTTTGTTTTGATTTTTAATTTTTATTCTCTATTATATTCAGAATGCATAGATTTTTCTATTTGTTGAATGTTGCAAATATCTTGTCAAAATAAAAAACTTAGAAACTTTTGAAAGGTTAGGTGCTTCTAGCTCAGGGCCTGTATGTAGTAAATGCATCACAATCAGGCTCTGTATAGCCATCCACGCCCCAGGATGGCTCAAATGGTGATGTGCTCAGCAGTGTGCATCACCCAAAGATGCCTTGGCAGGAAGTCCAGCCACACCAACCTTCTGGAATACACTCAGGGACACCATGGTTGAAGTGGCTTCCACAGTACCTACCGCTGATCATCACGCTCCCAAGATGTCCTCAGTGGCCCTCAGCAGCATATATTTGTTATGTATGTGCTTTGATTCACCTGACTACTCCTAAACTGGAAGCCATGGTGGCCTAGTGGTAAGACGCTGTACTACAATCCCAGAGGCATGCAGCTCAAATACACGAGTTGCTCCATTGGAAGAAGGATGGGCAATTTCTTCCCCAAGTGATTGATTTACTGGCTCTGAAAACCTGCTGGAGGGTCAGCTATGGGTCGGTTCCAACTAATATGCAGGCAACCACATTCCTGAACTGAAAACCATTTGGATTCTTTGTTACTTCACACTGTGTCAATAATGCATAGTTTGAGTATGGCTCTGGACCACTCAGCTATTTGCCAGTATGAAATTTTGAGTGTTGTCTCAGAAACCAGTGTGTTTTCCCAGGCAGTGGCCCATGGATACCCCTGACTCCAGCCTTCCTCCCACAGGATGAGAAGGAGCGCATTGAAGCACTGGGTGGCTTCGTATCCCACATGGACTGCTGGCGAGTCAACGGGACGCTGGCTGTCTCCAGAGCCATTGGTAAGAGAGTGGACACAGCTTCCCAGGAGCTGGGGAAAGGACAGCATGAGAAGGACTTGTGGTAGATGCAAGGTGTCTTAGGGAGCTCTGGTGGCCCAGCAGTAAGAAGCTGCGCTGTAACTTCAACTTGATGGCACACAACAACAACAGGGATGCCTTGGTGTCCAGGGGACAATGTAAGAAAGCAACACAAAGTGGGCAGCTAAAAACCACAGTTTGTTCTTTTTATTTATTTTGGCTTTTTACAATTCTTTCTTTCATAGCTTGAGAGCCATGAGCGACATCTGTCCCACCAGGTTCCCAGGACAACCAGCACTCTTTGGCTTGCAGCTCTGTCACTCTGATCTATGGCTTGCCTTCTCTCAGTGTATGTTCCCTGTGCCTCTAAGTCTCTATAAGGACACTGGCCATAGGATTTAGCATCCACTCTAATCCAAATAAGGAACTGTAGTGGCTTAATAGTAAGAAGTTGACTGCCAGCCCAAAGGCAGGTGGTTCAAATCCACCAGCTGCTACATGGGAGAAAGATGTACAGTCTCCTGCCATGTGATTTACTGCCTCTAAAAACTTGGTGGAGGGTCAGCTATGGGTCTGTTCCAACTCAATGATGATAAACAACTAATCTAAATACCCTCAACTTGATTGCATCTACAGAGACCCGAATTCCAAGTAAGGTGGCAGTCACAGGTGCTAGGGCCTACATTGTCCACATATGGTACTGGGAAGCTCAACTCAGCACAAGCTGAAGCTTCTGAGTCAGGCAAAAAGGAAAATCTGGTAAGGTTTAGAGAGTGTGATTGCAAACATCTTCATAGCACTCATCTTGCACAAATAATTGTACTTTGAATTATAAATAGATGCCTCAAGTGCAAACAGAAACTTGCACACCGCACTTTTCACAGTAGTCGAGAGGTGGAAATAGCACAGATGCTAGATGAACACAGGAGGCTGTAGCCATACCATGATGTACTTCTCGTTCAGAAAGAGAAATGAACCCCAGTGCAAGCCACATGGAGGTTAACTCCAAAACCAGCCTCTGAGCAAAATCAGGTTGTCAGACACCATAGGTCTTGCTAACAAGAAAGACACCTTGTCTTGTTGATAGAATAGGCAGATGCATAGAGACCTATACATGGTCTATTGTGGGTGGGCAAGGGTGGGAGGGAGGGAAAAGAGGAGTTTGGGAAGGGTGTGGATGGACACTGAGTGTCTGAACAGTGAGTCATTTGGAAAAGGACCACGTGCTGGTGACCCACACAGTGCATATAATGACTGTCACCAAACGCTGTGTGAAAAATGTTGAGGTGACAAATGTTACATATATTTTTACCAAAATAAAATTTTTTCTTTACAAGATTTCTTCAGAAAAAAACCTAGTGCTGGGTTATCATTTTGAAATATTGCGTAACTCTGGTTTCATCCATTTTGTTACATGCTGTCAAGTCAGAACCTAGCCATAGCTGACCTCAGAGGTAGTAAATCACCAGTCCTCCCACAGACCATCTGGTAGGTTAGAACTGCATGCCTTTGGGATTGCAGTGCAGCTTTTTACCACTAGGACACTAGAGCTCCCTTCATATTGGTTCTTTTTGTGGAAAGCTCTGAGTAGCATCTGCACTCACTCTTCTCTGAGCCCTCCCTTTGTAAACACCAGCCAGAAGCCTAATAGGCATAATTGGAGGTCACACCTTTCCTCTAGAACACCCTGGATTTGGCATTTGCCTCCCATACACTAGAGAAGTCTGTCCTTACAGTGCCTTCTTTCATGGCCCATTTTGCTACTTTTGCCCTTGTTTCTGGACAGAGTCAGAGGCCAGAAGGGACTGGGCCCCCAGACCACACGTGGCCATGGACTGTGTCCCACAGGACATAGCAGTGTAGGCATCTCCTACTGCAGGGGGTGGGGGATAGCTGGCCAACTGGGTAATGGTGGGTGTGCCATAGGGAGCAGGGAAACCAGCCAGAGCCCGTGGACCTGCATCAGGCCATGCGTGATGTACAGAATCTGCACAACACTTGGGAGTACCAAAGAGAAGCAAGTGTCTGCAGCCTTGCGTCAGCCTCAGGCCCCATCCCTAGTGGACACAGGACATCATTTTGTAAGGCTGTGGTGCCCAGTGCCCCTGAACCTTACCTGTGGACACATAGTGATGTCATGTATGTCAAGAAAGTACCTCATTAAGCAGGGTTTTCAGTAGCTGATTGTTTTGTTTTGTTCTAAGTGTTTTGCTTAGAGTGCATTGAATATATATTAGCAGATATGTTCTCACTCGGGCCATCTATTAGAACTGACTCGCAGATGACCCAGCAGATTTTCAGAGGTCATGCAGGAGATGGCCATCTTTCTCCCATGGAGTAGCTGGTAGATTCAAACCATATACCTTTGGCAGCATAGCTCCTTATCAGGAGCTCAGTAGATGATGTTTGCAACATGCCAGGCCTTGCCCAAGGACACAGGGATGTCACATTAACAGTTAAGGAAGAGCCTCGGTGGAATTTTTCAGTAGGTGGTTTGTGGGAGTTATCTAGGTCTTTCTTCCAGGGCATTCCTGAGTGGATGCCAAGTGCTAACCTTTAGGTCATCAGGGAGTAGCAGTCAGGGCCTCATTGTGTCCTTGCTTAGCTCTAAATAGCCATGAGGTTGCCAGCACTTCCTCAGCATGTGACATCCTGGGAAGTTCTCTCACAACTTTGTTCCTGACCAGAAACCACAGGGGACATTGGATGGTACTGAGCAAGAAGAAGCAGATGGGGAGAACTTGAAGGCGTGCTTCACCCTGACTCCAGCCTTTCTTCTCTGTGCTCAGGGGATGTATTCCAGAAGCCCTATGTGTCTGGGGAGGCAGACACAGCCTCCTGGGAGCTGACCGGTTCCGAGGACTACCTGATGCTTGCCTGTGATGGCTTCTTTGACTTCGTGCCCCCTCAAGAGGTCACAGGCCTTGTCCGGAGCCACTTGGCTCGGCAGCAGGGCTGTGGGCTCCACGTCGCTGAGGAGCTGGTGGCCACTGCCCGGGAGCAGGGCTCCCGTGACAACATCACTGTCTTAGTGGTCTTCCTCAGGGACCCCCAGAACCTGCTAGATGTGGGAGACTCAGCCCCTGCTCCCTCTGGCCAGGGAAGCTAAGGGGACCTGGGCCCGCTCACCCACCTGCTCCATGATGACCCTTCAGATGCCTTCGGAAGATGAGATGCAGCAGGCTGATCACAGACTGGGGATACCCTACCCATCTCAGAATGAAAAGACCTCCCCAAAGAGAAAGCGGCACTAGACATAACCCTATGTTAGGCAGGATGGCCACTGCTGAGCACTCCTTTGTGCAGCGTTTATGTGGGCAATGTGCCCTGGGGGCTAATGGAGAAGAGCCCGTGTCCACCACAAAGCAAAGCAATGACAGTGGCCCACACCTCCGTAGTTGCCCTGGGAGCAAGTGAAACGTGGTGGGTGTCTCAAGTGTGCAAGTGTGTATGCATGTGTGCGTGCATTTCCAGGGCAAAGTCTTAACTCAGATGCAGTATTTCAGGTTTTATCTTTGTGCCAAGGGCGACCTGCCGTATTGTATAACTTGAGCAGAGCTTAGCATTTATTTTGTTTTTCGAAAAGCTCATATATTTTTCACCTCCACTATATTTAGGGGAAATTTCCCCCCCGTATTACTGAAATTTTCTATTATTAATCACTAAATCAGGATGGAAACAAACCCCTTTTCAGGTGACACTGACAGGCCACCCAAGTGCCTTGCATAGTTGCCACCAGCTCTGGGAGTGGGCACTGCCAAGTTTTCACAGAAGCAGGAACACACACACAAAACCCTCTGCAGGAGTGTGTGGGTTTAACCAAGAATCTTCCAAGGGGAGTCCTTTGCATCTTTGCCATACAACTTAGCCCACAGGCCAGCTGTCCATAGTACAACCCTGCATAGGGAACATGGGTGGCTTTCTGGGGTATGCTAGCCCCCACACTCGACCTGTTGTCCACATCTCTGGCTGGAACACAGGTAGAGGAACCAAGTTCTGTGAGGGGGCCACTTAAGCATCTCCTCCTGCTGTTTGATCAGAATTTTCTAGAATACCTGCATCACTGTAGGTTTTAGTAGGAAATGGCTTAGTAATCAGGTGAGCTGTGGGTTGTATGTGGAAGTGGCACAGATGATCTCAGTGTTCCGAGTAGTTAATGAGTTCTGATTCCGATCCCTGGCCAAGCCCCTCAAGCATAGCCCCTCACTTCTCCCTGGCTCCTGCCAGTCCATGGCCTCATCTTGCCCCACAGCTGACCCACACTGGCATTTGTTTGTTTGTTTTTGTGGCTCCTTGGAGGTGAACATGGCAAAGCTTCATACTACTCAAGGCTAGTCTTTGGAAAGAGACATCATGAGGGTTAGTGAAGGAGAGGAAGACCCCCAACAAGATGGATTGACACAGTGACCGTATCAGTGGTAGCAAGGGTGGCATAGAATAGGACAGGGATCAGGGCAGCTATCCATTGACTCAGTAGTACCTAACAACAACCTTTCATGACCTGTGAGGAAGCAGTGTGTGTAATAGTGCACCCTCTAGGACCCCACAAGGCAGGAGTGACTCAGGGAGCATACAGAGTGAATGGGCATCAGGTGTGCATGTGTGAGGCCCAGGGAGGCTCAGCGCTACCAGTCAGACAGGTGGCCATGGGGGAGAACTACAGTGGGCAAGGCTGGCATTTGCTGTGGGTGACTTAGCTAACACTGGAATTGCTCAGAGAGGAGGCTTGAGTGCTTAGAAGCATTCAAAATGCATACCTGCTGCAGGCAGCCAGGCCCAGACAGCCTGTGCTTACAGACTGGTTTCAGGAGACACCAAGATCCCCAGAGGGGAGCAGGATGCAATGCTGGCCACAGCCTGGCCACCTGGGACTAGGAAATAACAGCCTTGGGCTCAGGTGCAGGCACCATCAGCACAGGCCTAGTTAACTCAGAAGGTACCTACATGCTGCTTGACCTAACCACTCTGCCGCTGACCGTAATAGGGAAACTGTAGCTTCCCCTTGTCACTCTCAGTTGGTCATGTTCAGGGTGCCACAGTTGCCATACTGCTGTGGTTCTGTTCACACTTGGCCCATGAATCTACTAGGAAATTACCACAGATAGGCTGGGAAGTCCTGTGTCCTCCTGTCCCCCTTAGCAGCAGTCATCACTGTCTTTGCCTTGGGGGAGGTGTTTGTGCCTGCACCTCAGCACCAACAGGCTTCTCATTTCCACCTGAGAGGCTGGGGGAGGGCAGCATTGTCCTGTAGTGCAGACCTTCCAGGTCACTGTCGCCACCTCAAGCCCTGCTTGGTACTGCACAGGCAGTGCCAACCTTACCTAACATATAGCAGCTTCTCTAGCAATTCTGAAGGTGCAGGGGTGCCTGGGGCAGAGCCTTGGGCACCTCCTCTCCATCCCTGCAGGGAAAGATGATGAAGTATTACTAGTATCAATTCTTAAAGTGAAGTGGACTGGAGAAGCCTTTTGCTGCAGATGGCAGCACTTTATATGGAACACAGACATGAGAGTAAGGGGGCACTGTTCTCAGCCAGTACCAGCTTCTGGGGTGCAGGATGAGGCCAGAGGGTGGGGAGCTGCCAGGAAGCTTGCAGGAACAGGAGATCCCAGGATGGGGAGGCCTCAAGATGGAGAGCTGCCAGGAGCCCTGCAAGGATGCTTTTGGTGCAGAATTTGTTCTAGGGAATCTCTCAGAAGCAGACAGCCCTGTGTAGGGTCAGCTCAACCGAGTTTTAAGCCAAAGTGGGGCTCAAGGGGAGTTGTACTGGGCTTTTTATGGGTCCTCTTAAGCATCCCACCCATCCCAGCTTTGCCAAACACGCCATGCTTTGCCAAACCAGGTCCACAGTGCAGCCGGGTCATTTCCCCTGTTTTTTGGAATAGGTTGGTCCACGTAAACAGCCCCCACCCAGGGAGCCCCCTTGTGCTAAGTATTAATAAACTGAATTCACAGCCCTTGCCTCCTCAGCTCTGTGCACTCAATGTGAAGCTGCCAGACTAACCACAGGTGATTTGCACAAGTGCAGCCTGGCTCAGGAGCACCCTGCACAGACCCCACGTCTGAATCTGAAGCCAGAGGTGGGAGGGATGGAACTACGGAGCACGGGGACTCCCAGCCTCTTCACTAACCATCCTATGTACATGTGGGGGCAGCCTCTTTACAAACATAACCACGTAGCCCCACTGCCTGCCAGTGTGCTGGCCACCCTCCCCAGCAGAGTACCCCATGCCTATCACGGGTGTGGAGAACATCACTTTGGGAGAGATCTCAAGAATGAGATGTCATTTCTGAAGGAGTTATTTATCCATGCCTCCTCCATTACCTTAGTTAATAAGCTAGGAGAGACTAGTCCTTGGAGTAGCTTGCTTGGAAAGGTGAAGGGTTAGATAACAGGAAAGAGGAAGACCCTTAACCAGGTAGATTTATAGTGACTGCAGCATTAGGCCCAATTGTGTCAGAGATTGTGAGGATGGCACAGGATAAAACAAAGTTCAAATCTGTTGTTCATAGGTTCACTGAGTCACAGACAGCACCTTTTAAATATTTGTCCTTGGTGTGAATTTAAAATGCTCTTTCCTAGAAGCACAGAGATGGAGCAGCAAGTGTAGCATGGTGCCTATTGTAGACCTAGAAAAGGAGAACCAGGGGCTCCGGCAGGGCAGAGGTGGGAGCTTGGGGTTGATGTCCTTTGCTTGGATGCAGAACTGATGTACTCCCTCATGACCCAAAAATGTCATTGTGGCATTTAGGCAAGGGAGGGTGCCCTCCCTAGGCAGACACATCAGCTTAGTTTGAATCTGCCAGTTTGTCTACTGGAAAAAGATGGGCAGTCTCCTGTGAAATGTACTGCCTTTGAAAACCCGGTGGAGGGTTAGCTCCCACTTAATGATACGTCACTCCCAAGGCCTCTCCCACCAGAGGCCTGAAAACCCAGTGTCAGTGTTCCTCAAACCACCCGGGTGACCTTGTTTCAGTAAGCCTTCTTCCAGAGGTTGCCAGTCTTCCAGGAATCTCGGTGAAGACACCAGGGCTGGAGGTGACAGTGGTAAGGTTGAAACCACAACCTGTGATAAGGTGGGTCTTGTAGCCCCAGAGGTCCATCTATCTGTCTGGCAGTGTCCTGCAGGCCACTTGAGGGGTTCGTTCACCAGTCAGCAGTTTATACATAATTTCCATCACCACCTGCCACAGACACTGTTTTCCAGATATCCCTTTCTTTGGTCCCAAGACACAGCCCCCAGCAACAAATCTGTGCAAGCTGACACCTCCGTCCGCCTCCCAGGGAGCAGGATGGCCTGGATACTGCTCAAACCTTGACTTGTCACTGAATGCAAGGAGTTCTTTTCAGAGTTGCCAGGAAGACTGGGGTTGCATAATCCAGAGTACTTTATGGCAGATCTGGGAGAGCAGAGAGAGTCCTCTCAGAAACTGCCTCCCTGTCTAAGAGCATGATCTTTGGTTTTTATATTTAGGTTAGGTGTCAGTCACATTCCAATTTACGGGATTTTTACATTCAAAAAGCAGTTTACGTAGTTATTAGTAAACAGTTTGTGATATAGTTTACATATGACTAAGAAAATACTGTTTGAAAAGGCAGATGCTGGGAGCTCTGGTGGCTTAGTGGCAAGAAGTTGCACTGCAATCCCAGAGATGTGAGGTTCAAATCCACCAGATGCTGTGCCGGAGAAGGAGAGACAATCTCCTGTACCAGTCAGATCTGATTTGACAGTACAAACACAAAAATAATAAATTTTTTTTTAAAAAAAGGTATATGCTAATTCAGAAAAGATGCATTTTCCCTCCTGATAGACAATATAAGATGCAGTTTATATATAACAGAGTACATTTCCCTTCTTGATAAACAGGCAGTTTAAAGTACATTACTAAAGAGAAGTAGGATTATAGGGCAAAGCAGCCAATTTTGCAGGCTGGAGGCAACTGATGTCAGTTTTACAGCTATACAATATGGCTGAACAATCCTGAACTTAATATCACCTTTTCAAGGTCCTTCAGCCACTGACCCCTCCAAATGGTGGGCATCTATTCAAAATTCCCTCAGCTCCCTACCCACATTTCCAATCCAAGTGGGGTGACCATGGGGTATAG